ATTATAAATCTAATAATTTCAGAGATCCAAATGTTCAAAATTCCTGGTAGAAAAATTACATTCTGCCGTTGAAGAAGACAAGGCCCCTGGATATAGAAAGACACAATAGTGCAGACATTTTCAAATTATTGAATTTCGACTATCCTTCAATTTATAATAAATGATAACACAGTACAATTTCGGTTCCTATATTTTTATAAATATTGATATAACATTAAGGTTTTGAATAAAAACATTATTCTGCTTTACACAAGTATGAAATACCATCATTACATACATGATGGTTTAAGTACTTAAGCTTTTTTAAATTTATAGTTCATAACTATTACTTTTTACAAACTAATTAGAAAATATAATATTAAAATAAATATATTTGTCTACAAAGTAAAGTAGATGTTATTGATTAGCTCTATGTGAGGCTGGGTTTGAATTAGTTTTTATTATACTTAAGTTTGAGTTGCTGAAAAAATAACTGAAAGTTATTTTGTAGTGTGTTAAAAGTTTACTATAATCATTAAATTAAATGTTTAAGTTATTATATTGTTCTTTTATTAACCTATAAAGTAACATGGCTTATATATTTTTCATTTCGGTTACTACGTTTTCTGTAGGCAGTCATTAAATAATGGTAGATTTAATTAATCATTTTATTAATATAACAATATTATTAGATACAAAAAAATTATTATGAAGTACACAATTATCTTAAACACGGTAATACAATTTTTAAAATAGATTTGTGGTCTCGGTTTAATCTCTTCTTAACATTTAAATAATTGGTCATTTTCTTCCTCATTCTTGACAACTACCGCTGATGGCTGTAATACAATAGTTATCTGTTAAAATTGTAAATAGGGAGATATGGTAGGTCACTGTACTGACACAATAATATTGCGTAACAATTTAATTATAGTAAAGTTAAGGTAAATAATAAAAAAACTTGCATAAAACACACAAAAACTTTATGGGATATCTTTGTATTTCTAAGTAAAGTATCTTAAAAACATGTTTGATAATATTATAACTAAGCCAAAAATTATTTAAAGTTTTATGGTAATAAGGCTTAGTAATTTCACACACAGTATTTGCTTCAGTACTATGAATAAAAAAATCTTGAGCAAACCTATATTTAGACTCAGAAATCCAAATCTAAGTATGTTCCTACTTTAAAAACAATTATTTATTAATGAAACAAATCCAAGACCGATGAAGGGTATGTTTAGTGCTAAAGTGTAGTGCTGACTACAATATAATAACAACTAAAATAGAATAACTATCTTTAGATTGCTTCTATGTATATTTACGGCCAAAATTAATAATGTATCCTCAATCTATGATTATAACCAATCTTGGACTGATTCATATCTAAAGACCGATCTCCAATCTGCATGCCAATAAACATTTCTGCTATCCGATTGTTTATTTGACAAAAGATTGACAGCAATCTTTTGCGTGATCCTTCCCTCTCGACCGCGTTTCGTTCAATGCAATATATTGTGTTCAAGCATACCAAAAGTTTGCTGTTTTTGGAACGAAATAAAATAAGTAAGACTTAGGGTCTGTTTCACAATGTATGGATAAAGTAGCAAATAGCTATGCAACGTTTTTGTTTGTTTTTTTTTTACGAACAAATAAAGTTACAAAATTCTATAGAAAAACATAGAACCTTAACCTTTTTGTTGGTCATTTAATATTACTTGTAACGAAACGGGCTGTCATTTTCATATGGTATTTTTGTTTGTTAGGTTATTGAGTATTTCAGTATATATTTTAATTTTTAGTTCGGCGCCTTCGGCTTGACCTTTCAAATATAAATTTTCTCTGAGTAGTTTGTGTATGTTGTTTTTGTGATTCGAGGTTGGTTCTTTAACTTAAAAAAATGTCTACGCAAAAACGTGAAAGAAGCGTCAATTTCAGCCGGGAAGAAGTTGACCATAAAAATATATTAGAAAATAAAAAGAGTGACTCAGTGACCTGGCAGGAGAAAGAGCAGTGCTGGAAGACGCTGGAGGCGCTGTTTAATAGCACAAGTGGGGTAAACTTTCGCAGTGCTAAAGCTTAAAGAGGGCTACAAGAAAAAAGTCTGCCTTGATACATGCTGAAACATATCGTACAAGAGGTGGCCCTAGTGCTGCTACTCCTCTTACCCCTATCGAGGAAAAAGTCAAAGACATGATATTGTTGTCTGTCGAAGGAATTGAAAGTCAATTGAAAGGAAGAGCTTCTAAATAAGAGAAAGCAATGGGCATTTGAAGAGGAAGCAAGAGAGCATAAAAGAGAATTATGGGCCATAGAAAAAAATTTATTGTTAAATAAATTAGAAAAATAATAGATTTTGTGCCTGGAGCAAGAATGTATTGTATTAAAAATTTGTATTTTTATTTGAATAAAAGCATTGAATTTTTATTTAATTTATCTCAAAAATGTTGTAATTTATAAAATATTATAGTAATAAAGCAAAATAATCACTTATAAGATTACTTCGCACACTTGCATTTCCCACGTTGTCAATTGCGCTTTGATCAATATCATTAGCTGGTTCATCATCATTAATTCTTGTCTTCTTATGTCTTCGCACAGAAGTACGTTGTCTTCTTCCAGCTTCAGAATTACTATCCCAATCGGATAATTGCATTTAAACTTCCAAATCACTATCACTAGAACTGGAAGATGACGAAGATGAATAAATTTTCCCAATGAATATTAAGTTAGTACGCAATCCCAAACCCAAATCATACGAGTTTCACCGATAGCAATCCGAGATTGATTTGGCCTATCGAAGCAACTGTCAAAATGGACAGATAGGTTGTTGGCATGAGTAAACATTCATTTTCATACAGAGGGCAATCTTCAATCTCTTATCCGCCCTCTGAACGATTGGTTGAATAATTAGATTGGTATCTCAGTCCATGGATTTAATATTGGCATGGTTTTCTTTAGAAATGGATTGAATTGTCAGTCTATGACAGCTAAAATTGGATTGAGATTGCATATTGGTTTTGGCCGTAAATAAGTTATGGCAATGTCATTTCCAACATTTAAAATTAACGTTGATCACTTGAAATGGTATAAATTTGAGCAATTGAAAGCTTATATAGGTATTTGATCCAACATACCTAACATGATTATTTATACTTGTGTTCTGAAATCTGAACAATTAAATTCAACTTGATCAATTAAAATTAATACTTCTTATATTTCATGAATGGAATTTGAAGTTAGAAAACCTAAAAATATTTTTTATATTTAACATTTTTAACCAATAATTTAATTATTCTTTACAATGTCGCTTCGATTTAACCTATTACATTTGACTTCAAATTTGCCATCAAACAAACAAACTTTGTTAAATATTTTTCTAGACACTGCTTATTCCTATTTATTTACTATGATAGTTATTATATTTCTAAAATAGTTTTAATAGAATTCAGTTTTTAAGAGTGTTAGAAAAACATAGGTAATATTGTTGTTGTGTGTTTGACCTCTGAATCACTTAAAAAGGTTGCAATAGTAGTTTCGTGGCATCTAAAAAGTACCAACACTTGCACTTACACAAATTAATAAATATATAAACACAAATTTTTACTTTTAATTTATAATTACTCAACAAAATATTATATGAAAACATTGGTATTCACCTTTAGTAATATTTTGAAAATTTAAGATACCTATCCATCCTGTTTAGTTTGAATCCTTAGACCATTCTACCATCTTTTTGTTAAGATAATATTCTTAAATTTTGTACAATATATCCAGATGTTAGGTATCCCTTGTTTCGTGCTGAAACATAATTAATATTTTTAAGTTTCTGTCGCTCATATACACCACGGCTGGTCGAAGTATAAACTCTTAATTGGAAGTTATAAACAAAATACGTAACTAACGATTTACTAATAAATAAACTTACTACTCACCTTTAAGCGTTTAATGATTTTCCTCGCTATGCTTTGGTTAAGCATATTTCTATATTAATCTTGCTAATTATTTTCCATCCGATAAATCATTTTTGAGATATTTTCACAGTTTATCTTTTTTTTAATATTCTTCATTTTATTTCAAACGTCGACCATTTTGTTTTATTAAAAATATTTTGTTTATATAATATGATGAAAATTTTGACAATTAACTCTTTTTATAAATAAAATGAGTCAATTGTCACGATATTAATAGACAACAACTCACTAGGTTCACTCCCTCCACTTATCAAGACGTAATGTAAAATTTCTTAACAGAATACCATGAGATTCCAAAAATTACGTGAGTGACGAAGGGAGCGCTCTTAGTGCGTGATGGACTCACGGATTAACAGTGAGTTACAGAATCGCAGGGCAGTACATACATAATTAATTGAATCATCATCAGTTATTAAGTCTAAATGAAATGAATCGTTGAATTTAATAAAAATAGTTAAACACCAGTTATAAGGTAGTTAATAAAAAATACTTAGTTTTTGTTAAGTAAGTCCACGATTTCACTTTCATTACGAATGCATATTGACTTTTCACCTTCACTTTTTCTAACTAGTATTTTACCCCTAGATACCCATATGTAATTGTATATGCCATGAAGCTGCTTCTTCGTGTTCCACAGCAGAGTTCTAGTTACCTTAGTAAGTGATTCGTTGATATATAATTTGCTAGTGGACGATCCACCTGTGATATCGTCACTCGTCACCTCCTTTATTTTACGGTGCTGCGCCAACCAAGTGTCACGGGAGTCAGCTCCTGATACCTTGAATTTTACCACTATAGGTTCCGCTTTTACGCTAGTTTTCAGAGGGCGGGTGGTCGTGGTTCGCCTGGCCCACTCGATTTCTGAAGTATTTACATTGATTCTTTGCCCAACCTTAGAAATTAGCTCCATGACATTTTCGCCTGGCAGTTTTTCAATGCCCACTATTTCTATGCGATCATTTAGAGAAGCCTGCTCAAACTCATGTATATTCTGTTCCAGCGCAACATTGCACTTCTCTAAGTACACACATAAGTGTGTGTTTATGTTTAAAACTGTCTTCTCGAGTCTACTGATCTTTTCCCGTGATTGCTGTTGGTCTGCAATAATTGTATCATACTTATCAGACAACAGGCTCAGACTTCGCGTTATTTCGTCCAGATGAGTTTTTACCTGCGGTATTGCACCTACTTTTTTCTGTATGTCCTTTAGTATTTTATCTTCAATTAGAGAGACCAACTCAGTCTTAAGTTTCGACAATAGCGAAACCTCCATGCTCCTAAAATATTCATCTAAGTTACCCGCCGCCGACGGTAAGGGTGCGTGGGGCGGAGGACTGTAGGATATTGACTTAACAGGAGTATTATCGTCGTTTTTTGTAGGTAATTTACATGCTGGACACTTCCAGTTTGACTTAGCTTTAGCCGTAAGTCTACTAAAAGAGGTCTTTGTGTATCCAACACAGCCGTAGTGGAAGTTATTTTTACAATCAAAACAACAAATTTTATCAGTGACACTGACGAGCTGTTGACAGCCAAAGCACGAACTCATTATGTGGGTTTGCACTTGTGACGGACCAGTACAACAAGCGAAGATGCAACGATGCTTAATCACAAAGCGTTTAGCCACTGTTCACTTCACTTAATCACTGATTACGTAGTAGTTTGTTTACGCAACAAATAGGAAAACGCGCGCGGCCTCCGAGCACGTCAGCGAGCGAGTGTGTACTCGCGTTTCGTGCGGTGAGAGAGACTCCCGGAGCCCACCCCCCCTCTCTACAAGAAATATGAAGGTGCAGAAAAAACAGAATCTACCCCAGGGGGGTACCACACGCGCTCGCGGTGGAGAATCCCCCTCTGGGCGTCCAACACCGGGACACTCAGCACCCGGTGGTGGACGCACAGGCTGCCCTTCGTATTCTGGGGGGGGGCAATTCTGCGCTCTGTTATACGACGTCCCGGATTTAGAGTTTTAAAAAAAGAATTTATTTCACACAAAGGATTTATTTAGAAATATAGATTTTGAAAGGCAACTGCTCGGTTTGAATCGTAAAATGGGACTGGGACTGAGCTGAAAGATAATGCTCATGACAGTTGAATAGGAGATGCAAGCTTGCTAAAATAAAGGTTGACATAGGGTTGTCTCTAAGGTTTTAAATATATAACAACCCCCTCGTTATGAGGAAACTTACGGTTTATTTGTAAGTTTACTTAATATTTAACAAACTCGCAAGCGAGCTACTGAAGGATTTCTCTGGTTTTCCAGATTATTATCTTGCTCAACCGGGATATTATTGGAAACTTGGAGTTTTCTCGAACATTTGCCTTTCTTATAAAAATATACAAAAACAAAACTAATAACTAGGATTACAGAGAAAATACTTAAAATAGGAAAGCTAACATGATTATTAAAACTATTAGGATTCTTGATCTCATTTAGATCCTCCATTGACATGTCTGAAATAGCTTTAATTGATTTTAAATTATCAAGGTTAATAATCTTGATTTTTGGAATAGAAATGTTATTACTTAATTTGTTTACACTTTTACAACAATCATCGTTAATAATATCAAAATTCGAGGATACAGCGGGTATATATGTTTTAGGATACACTTTAGTCACCAACTTAAGGTTTTTATGAAAACCTACACAATCTATTGGTAAACTTAGTACACCTGTACCGGATATAACTAACTCAGATACATTTTGATTACATTCAATAGACAATTTAGTGGATTTTGATTGTACAAATATCCATTTGTTATTATTTAGCTTATGCCAAATATCTAAATCACCAAACATAACCTTAACAGGACAATTTTCCGGAAGGGTAGTTAAGGCTTTAGTAATTATTTCGATTTCACATGAAGGATTATTAAGTACTGCGTAGACATCAGTTATTTCACAAAGGTAAGTATCAGTAAGTATGCTTTTACAATCATTTAAATCTTTGAGATAGATATAAGATAGTTTATCTGTGCTCAAGGCTAAAAATTGTTCCGAAGGGAGGATCATAGCGAAAGAATTTAAATTACCCTCCGTATGTGGAATCGGCAATGGTACAGTTTTATAGATATTAAAATGTTCTAAGGTTACGAGTGGAATCTTTACAATAAACATTAATTTTTCATTGAAATAGTAACAAGTTAAATCGGCTATATTAATTAGAATATGAATATTGCTTATATCTATGCTTACAGGAAAATCTCTGTACTTAGGTAGTAACTTAAAATTATTTACAATATCATTGTACATTTGGTTCGGGGTAAGAACTGAAGGATGTAAGGTGTTACTTTTAATGAGTAAAATGGAGTTAAGTAAGTCTTCCACCTTAAATGATAAAGTCAGTAAGTTTGATTGCAAAATATTTAAAATGTTATAAAAATTATTCCTAAAGTTAACCTCATTAAAAGCATTTGTTATATTGGATACCGAAGACGCTAATTGTTTGACGACACCATTCAATTTTGCTTGATTAAGGTTCATTTCATGTAAGGATTGATTTATATTGGAAATGGCAGATTGGGAAGCAATTACGGTTTTCTTCAATGTTCCTGAAATCTTTTTATCATTTTCATAAAGAGTTTTAATAGCGTCTTCATAGGTCTTTGCATCATCTTCGGTCAAGGTGCCGAATATGTGTTTAAATACAGTGCCTATTCCGGAAAACCATGCGGATCTTTTCGAAATGTAATTATCGGATACTAGATGTGAAACGGCATTAAAGTCACGTTGGAGATCTTTAAGGATTGCTTCTAAAGGTTGCAATAAGTTATGACATTGCGAAACACCAATTACTTCGCTTCTCTGACAATAAGACTGAACGTTATTGAACACTTTATTTATGTCCATTATATGATTTTGTATGGGAATGATCTCTACGGGAATTACAATATGAAATTGGTCGTTTATTATCTTTAGTGTGCCAACAGGGTCGAAGAAGATCCCAGGACCTTTCACTATATTTTTGACATACTGATTTTCAGATTCAGCTAGGGTGACATTGCAGAGAATTGCGATGACCCTGGAAAATATGGGAGCGTGTTATAATACTATTAAAAGGATTAAAATAATGTTACTTATAAGAAAAGTAAAATTTGATATAAACTTATCTTATAAAACTGGCGACTTAAATAACTATACAAAGTATATGTGTATAATAAAAATAAAAACATTTATAAAATAAAATTTAAATTAGATCTCGTGAGCTGGTTTTACTTCATCAAAATGATGTTTAACATGACGTCGATTTATTAAAAGGTGTAAAGTATTATTATCGTGGATTTTAACGATTTTATAGGGACCTTTCCAAATTGGCGAAAGAGCCTTGCGCAGCCTGACGTGATTTTTTAAATAAACATAGTCACCTACTTTATACTGTATAGACCGCGTGTGTTTATCATAGTAGGTTTTTGATCTTTCTTTGGAAGTTTTGATATTTTCCAAAGCCTTTTCTCGAGAAATTTGTAATCGGTGATGGAGCATTTTAATATACTCTGGATATGTAACGTCAGGGCGTGATTCAAATATTGAGTCAGGGATATATGGCTTGTGGCCGAAAACAAGTTCGTATGGAGTGAATTTAGTCGTTGTGTGGACACTACTATTATAGGTTAACATGGCGGTATATACGAACTTATGCCAGTTTGTCTGATTTTCATTTACATAAGATTTCAAATATTCCTTTAAAGTTGAATGGCTTCTTTCTAAAGCGCCTTGCGTTTGAGGGTGGTAAGGTGATGACCAAATTTGTTTAATCTTTAAGAACTCGCATGTGCGTTTAAATAATTCGGCAGTGAAATTAGTTCCTTGGTCTGTTAATATGGTTTTAGGGATACCAAATAGGGAAATAAAGTGAACTAAACCTTCGCAGGTTTCTTCTGCTGTAGCGTTTGATATTGGGTATGAAATGGAAAACTTGGTCAAATCATCCTGAAGAGTAAGTATGAATTTAAGTTTTTGAAATCCAGCTTCAGGCAAAGGGCCAACTATGTCGAGGCTAATTCTTTCAAATGGGCGTGTAGCGGTAGTCGTGATTTGCATGGGTGATTGGTTGATCTTCCTCAGTGCTTTGTTTGATTGACATAGTTTACAGTTTTGTACATAATTTTCTATATCTGTACGCATATTCTTCCAGTAATATCGTTCTTTGATTCTATTATACATTCTATTTGAGCCCAGATGTCCTGCAATCGGGATATCATGGTTTTCTTTAAGGATTTTAGTGATCTCGGAAGGAACAGGATATAGGATGGTATTATGGTGTATATTTACTGTTATGTTAGTATTATTAAATAAGTACATAAGCATGCCATATATTTTAACAAAGGAATGTTGTTCGAAGAGACTTTTAAAGTCAGATATGGCTATTTCTCCAATGTTCGCGGAAAGCAAGATATCGTCTCGAGCTGTTTTGAGAGTTTTGAATATATCTGGATATGTACAGTCGTCGAAATAGTAGACTTTAGTAAATAAAAGATAGTATATCTTGTTTTTAATTTCGATTTTTTGAAACGAATGTAGTTCTCTTTCTGAATTCAGGATATTGGTAGTGTCGGGTAGTGTGGACAGAATGTCTTGGAGATATGGATTTGATTCATCGAAGTCGATTGATACAGGGATTAAGATGGCTTTAGAATTACTCTTAAGGAGACTTTCATTGTGTTCCTTTATATGAGTGTTGAAGTTTTCATTTTTGTTTGAGAAAGTTTTCAGGAAGTCGTTGTAGTCAGTGTTAGAATTTGAAGCGCCTTGAAGAGGTGAAAAGCGTGAAGGATTTTGCGCAGGTGAGTTGGTCTCATTCTCAGGGCTAGTAGCAGGAATCAGCATTTCATCGTTTTCTAAAAGATCGATATTGGGTAGGCTGTCACTATCAGCATTGGATGTCGAAGGGAGTTGGATACCTAGATCATCTATTGTTAGAGGACTAAAGGGAAGTGGATCATTCTCACTTGAAGACGGTATTACCCGTTGAGAATCAGTCTGATCTTTGATAATTGGATTGACGGGAAATCGAGACAGAGCGTCGGCGTTACTATTAATTTTTTCTTTTTTATATTCAATGTTGTAGTCGAACTCCTCGAGTTTTAAACGCCATCTTACAAGCTTGGATCCAGGATCCTTACAATTAAATAACCATTTGAGTGGTTTATGGTCTGTCAAAATTGTAAATTTATTACCATACAGGTATGGTCTAAAGGTTTTAGTTCCCCATATGATAGCCAAGCATTCCTTTTCGGTAACGCTGTAGTTACTTTCGGCTTTAGATAGTGTTCTAGACGCAAAAGCGATAGGGCGGTCTTTTCCTATAGGCCCTTGTGATAAGATAGCGGAGATTGCATAGTTAGATGCGTCGCATGTGAGGTTGAATGGTTGGTTAAAGTCAGGGTAAGCAAGTATAGGTGCGGATATCAAGCTATTTTTTAGAGTTTCAAAGGCTAACTGTTGTTCATGTTGCCAAATGAACGGAACATCCTTCTTTAAGAGGTTTGTAAGGGGTTTAGCAATTTTAGATAGGTTAGGTATAAAACGACGATAGTAGGACACTAATC